TGTTTTTGTTATCATTTTCGCGCATCGACTATGATGATCGTGGTAGTTGACGCGCTACTGCCTGGTCAAGACGGTGGCGTCGCTAGGAGCTTGGCAAAACCGACTGTTTATTAGTTACTTATCTAGTCGATGGCATATTTGTGCGTCGGCGTGTTGGCTAAATCCGATAGTCTTCAGTGTTTACTAGATTCAAGGTTAACTAATAAGATAGAGAGAAGACTATAGCGTTATACGCAAAATAAAAGGCACATATGTGCGTACACGATAATAACAAAGTCTTCTTTTGACTGCTAGGATTATTATCACCATTGTCTAAGTTCGTGGTGGGCCGCTGCTATCACCAGCACTGTGGGATTCTCATTGGCGTAATAAACATGAATAAAACACTTAACGTATACAAACAGGCTAGAAAGCCCGCTTTTTTTTAAATGGGCAATAACATTCGTGCATTTTGTCAATGCTGGTTCGCATACAACGTACCAGCGTGGAATAGCGGCTTAAAGAATGACACCGGGAATCGAAGGTACTAATTATTTTCTAAGAAAACATGAAACTTACTTTGTCCTTCAAGATTTATAATTATCGCCGATGTTAAAAATGCTCTAGCTGTATCGAGCCAGGCTGTGCATATATGTATGTACATTGAATCAGTGATTTTCTGGACGCTAAGGGACAGGCTGAATTCTGCGAACGACAGGTGTAAAAATGTTTTGATAAAAAATTGCTAGGCCTACCGTCAGTGGCCTACAGCCACAACCCAAACACATTATGTTAATATGATACATATTTTAGGTATAATTAAAATTATGGTATAATGTCTATATAAAGAATACTATAGACGTAAGCGTAAAACAATAGAGCAGGCATGAGAAAATGTCTAGTTGAATTTCTTCAAATGATTCATACAACGAAAAAAAACAATAATGATCATTTTTAGTTTTTTTTTGGCAAAACAAATTTTGAAATCCTTGTTGAATTTGACTCAACGTAACGGCAAAATGGCAATATAGAAATCGTTTAGACATTCAAAAACGGCCAATGATCCTATAGAAAAGCCCACATTTTCCATATGTATCTAAGTCCATATATATCAAAGTTTTGGAATATTTTATATAATATTATTCAATTAAAGACTAATTACTAGCTTTTTATATACATACATATATACGCTATCACTAGTCGTTCAGTTATTGTCCCAAGCAATATGAAGTTCTGTTTAAAAATCTGTCCACGGGAGAATACCCAGTTAGAGCAATTCATTACCATGCCAAATGATGAGCGAAAAAATCACTTGGGAATAGATAACTAACCTGACCGTAGTAGGTTCACAAATGGTGTCGGTCATCCAATAATTTATAACCTAACATACAAGGTAACATTCCAGTTAGCTTTACTCAATGTATTAAGATATTCTGTAAATAACGATCCTTCTATCTTCGTTTATCGTACTATTGTTTCTAGCTAAAATCGATTAAGCTCACATCAATATACCGAAGAGTGTTATTTTTTGTCCTACATCGAAATTCTATTGATTTTACTAAGCTGTAGAGGACGTTCCAGTGCCTGTACAGATGTTCAAGGCATAATCTGCTGGGTCGCCCAGTTTACGCCTGCCCAGCTGCCGGGACGTTTCCATGTGAGAATCTTTCTTATGCCGAATTTAACGAGGTAATAATCAGTCAAAGACGTGAGCATAATATATGGTCCATAGTTAAAATCCGTTATCTAGAAAGGGATTGTTCGTGTTTTTTTTTTGTTGTGTCTGCCAGGCAGTTATGCGTGTATGCTTGACGTGCTTACGTCAGCTCAGGGCCAAACAACCCTTAAATCAAATAAGTCGTGAGGAGTCGCGACAGGCTTGAGCTATGGTGCTGGAGGACAAAGTGCTCAAAGCTGAGGTCAACCGCAGGTCAAGATGATAGTCGTCATCTGCTACACCGACCATAGCTACCACTAACTACCGAAGCGCGGGACGCCAATAAAAAACGAGTAACGGTAGACGAGTAGGGGATGAGGTGGGGCTGATCGTCTGAAGAAAACAGTGCGGCTGGCTCGCGCCCTTTTGTCTTGGAACGAGTCATCGTTACATAGTAGCGTAGAATAGATAGGTCTGGCCCGGGTTACGTGGCGTGCTGTCGTACGTCGCAGTAAGCTGCAGCGATCCGAACCGCCATCGCTATACCCAGCTTCTTCGCTGGCAATCCGACGGTAGAGAATCAGCAGGCTCATCGGATGGACGATGCGGCTGTCTTTTGCTCTTTTGTTCCTTTACCCCATTATGATTATAATGTGTCAAGAACGATAATAGAAGATGGTCAAATATGAGGCTCCATTATTTAATAGATACGGCTTAATCATAATAATTGTTCTGCCTAGAAACAATTTTATCTGAGAATGGCTGGAAAGCAAAGCAACGATATAACGATAAAATAGCGATTTTATTTAGCCACGTCCAACTGGCTAGCGTCACGGGCTTCAGAAAACCTCCCATATGAATTAAGAGAGAAGCATACTTTAGCATCATTTAGATTTAGAATAGGGAAGAATTGCTTTGAAAATATATGGTCTTTGGCTGTACGACAACTTCGAAATGGGTAATCACCTTATTAACTGCTTATAGGATATCTTTCAGAAGCGCATTTTTTTTTCGCCAATTTACTTATAAATCGTTTTCAAACGCAGGTATTTAGTTGTACATAAAAAAATATACTGCTACAGTATATATGTGGTCCACCACTATATAAACACGTGGATACTGAAGCGGGGGGCCACATGGGCTAAAATTAACTGAAAGCTATCGTTCGAAACAACTGGGGCCGCGGGAGAGGATAACATTACACCGCTATATTTGTTGTGTATAACTGCATTAGTCTTCTATTGTTTGAGCAAAATAAGGTCACTATAAATCCTTTATTTTTCAAAAAATATTAATTGAAGGCTTATAAGTCGTTGACTCATATATCCCTACAAAATGGGGTTAAATGGACCAGAGATGGAACCGCTAATGCCTTTGTGCATAGAAATCAGCCATTTGACGAAGCTAAAATGAAAATCCTTCCCTTTCTGCGAGGTGTTGTAGTTATGACCTCCCTAAAGGAGCTGATGCTTTTTAATTATTCATTGTCAAGTTTGGCAGGGCAAAAATTGTCATTTCTCTGTCATATGGTTCATCTGCGCAATGTACAGCCGCTTGTTGAATGGCTGAGGTATTGGCACATTTACGCTAAAAACATCTGGGGAACAGGAACGATGTGGGCACCGTTTTACTTAGCTAACTTGAGTAGATCCTGGCCTGTATAATTATACTGGTTACGCATGATTATTTCGTTATATATTTCAATGATTGTTTGCGACAAGTTCTGCGACATCCGCAATACGATAAATATATTGACGTCATCGTGTTATCCAATGAGTGCGCTGTTCCAACACAGCTGTCAACATATCTTCCGAAAGCGCCACATGCAAATCGTCGCTGACAACGGCGGAAAGTGGTCCAATATGTGCGAAGCTGTAAAGCTTCGATTAATTTGAAAAATAGACCCATCTAGCGTACTCCTACTTAGCGGAATTGCCCTTTGCGGCCTTTTGATTCTTAGTAAAATCAGCGCATATGCTCGAAATGTAGTGGTTCTACAGCAGTCTGGCCCAAATAGCCCCCAGGGGGGTGATCACGCAACATAATTCAATGTAGCAATCTCTATAACGTGTGATTTGCCTTAAGTCTGCCTTTGATATTTAGGGCAAGCAGAGTCGTAATGGTAAAATGAGCTAGCTAGTTTGCTTCTGTATCGGTCGACAAAAGCTCAATATTTAGCTTTTCCGTATCGCCTTCATAAAAGAGAAAAATATCTAGTAACGCTAATTGCACTACATCTCCGAACCGTGTAGATACGTCTGAACAATTATAGAAGTTTGCCAGTACTTAACATTCTTCTGATAAAGAAGAAAAATTGAATATTATCCATATAATTAGCGGATCGAAATATATCAATGACTTTTAAGCTATACGTCTTTAATAAACAGAACCATGCACAACGTTTTTGGCTATCTATAATAAGCTTATTGGGTATTATCAGAGGAGAATGTTTTTATATATACATCGCTTAGTTTTGAAAACGAATGTTGAGCGGACAACTTCGTACTCCTAAGGTGAGGGCTTTGATGGAATCAGCCGAGCGTTGATGACACCTTTGAACAAGGGGCCTTTAACAAAACAACAGTTACTTGTACAATCACTATTTAACAAAAACAAAAACTCTTCAGAAAAGATCACCTCAGGATTAGAAACAGATCAACAACTTGCTGTGATTTCGGGAGCGAAACAGAGCATGGGTAACGTACTTGTTGCCGGCCCAAAACAGGATTTCTCGCAGCACGCACTATGCTATCGCCCAGGATAAAGGGGAAGAATAATATATGATTTCCTTACGAACAGCGCTTAGGACAGAGAGAAACAAGTATGGTTCATTATAGAAATGATTCACACAACTATTACAAGCAGAAAATCCTCCCCCATAGATGTCGCCACAGGCAAGCCATGGAGAAAGCGATTTCACCAGCAGTATCAGGCAAAATAAAACGACACCTCGAAACCGAAATAGGTGTGCGGTGCAGCAACTGGGCTTGCTTTAAGGCAACTGGCGTTGCTGGACTTCAAACCGAAACAAGAAACAGAATCGAACGATGATTCTAGCCCCATATTCTTGAACTTCTCGTGTGATTTCAACTGGTTCTATGCCTTGAAGCTGTAATAGGTGTCGAATTGATTGAACAGGCCATCAGTACCTAGATTAGGGACGCTAATACAAACCACAATTTGTTAAACGGTTCCGAAACGCAGCTTTAAATGCGTATACAATAAGGTGAAGCACACTGTAGTACACAGTAACATAAACTAAAATAATGGCGTTCAGATTTTTCGGTTCGTGTGAGCAAATAACTTAAATCTTTAAGCTTCTTTATTCACACAAATTAGTTAATTAACTATTAACTTTACTCACCGATCAGCAAACTGAGAAAACTTAAACCGGATCGGATAGCCGGTCTTTCGAATCCGCACCGTGTCCAATATACCAGAATATCGTATTTGCTCTAAAACGAGCGGCATGTCCAAACGCATTGGGATCTTCTCGGCGTTCGGTTTTAAGCACCTAAGAACATCGAGGGGCTAGTTAGAGTGGTAATTGTAGTTTAAAGGTGAAGCGAATAACGCACAGCGTCTTGGCTTCTATTTGAATCTTGTAGTTAGACAGCTTTTGGTATGGTATGGCGTCATTCATGTAACGTTTTTGTGTCTGATTGTTTGCTGCGATCCTTGCCGTAATCAAACGACACACTGGTGAAGGTGAGTAGGAAATGGCGTCTAGCTATGTATATAACGTGCGTATATGTATATACCTGATAAACCAAGGATTACACTGGGCCATCTGGTCAACAAGCGCCTGTAACGAATCATGGAATCGAGCTGCAACAGTCGGCGCTCGCGGTTTCATTGTGACAAAACGACCCCCATCGTGTCGGCTTCCACGGTGGCCGTCCTGCTGAAGTTGCTCGCGGCTATGAAGGAACATCTTCGATATCATTGTGATTTTTGATGCGATCAGTAGCTCCGTTACATCGGGCCTATTTGAGATTGTGACGAGGAATCAGGTTAGATAGGTCGAACCAAATGCATCACTACCGAATGTCCAGCAGAGAAGAGTATAATGATTTACCAAGTAAATCCAAAATAATATAAAAATCAAAAGACGTTTACCAAGTAAACACATGCATGACTGGTGCACAATTATGTTTTTCGAGACGTTTTCTATTCGCTTACCTGAGTGTATCGCGGTTCTTATCAAGAAAGCCGTCCACAGAGTACCACACCTGACCGGCGTAGTGCCGAATGCCGAACTCCAATGAACTCATACGTGGTCTTGAATAGAGTTCGTTAAGCGCATGGTTGTAATGGCATTTCTCAAGGTACGAAACGTCGCTGGCCTTCGGATTCAGGTAGGGAAAGTTGGACAGGAAACAGTTAGTTCTGAGTGCAGAGATACAGCATCTGTCTTATTCCTTATTGTATTTGGATCCGGACTAAGAAAACAGTGTAAAATGTAGATGTGGCGTTCTTGTAAACATCTAATTGCGTTACATTCCCAGAGCACGCCACCTAAAAGTACGGTGTCCAGCAAGCTCTTGCTATAGCAACGAGGCGGAGATATGTACCATTACTATTATTGGCGGTGAAGGCATTACTAGGCAGACATGATCAGTACGCACGGATTAGAAACTAGAAAAGCACACTGTAAAAGCACTCTAAACTATTTTCCAAAAAAATGTAGCAAAGTCCATCTTCACCTTGGGGAAGTTGCTTTCGTCGTCTAGTAGATGAAGGATGCCCACTGGTTTTTTGGCAATCAAAGAAATAACCGCTTGGTTGTCCGGATAGGCTAGCGGAATCCATTCGATTCTTTCCTTTGCATATTCGGCTTGCTCCAACTATTGCAACAAAACAAATCATAAAAACAACAACTGCCAACGTTTCCGCTGATTGATAGACAACACAACAGATCTAGGAGGATACTCTGGAGAGCTGCATTCTATAAAGTTGACATAAATAATCTAGAGTTCTACGCGAGACATACATTAATAACTGGTTTCATATTAATGGTATCGCTAAAATCGAGACCTTGCAACTGTTCTCTAAAACTTGGCCATTTGAGCCGGTAGACAAGCTCGCACCTTTCACAGATTTTGGCAGCTAATACTTAGAGCAGAACCAATTATCTATGCAGTATAAATACAGTCAAAAGCTAGTGCGTGCTTTTATCGTTACGTGGGCTTGAGTTAGAAATACGTTGTCAACGCAATACGAAGTTACCTTGAATACATGTCGATTAAGATAACTATGAAGGTTTTCATTGGCATAGTTAATGCACAGTTGCTCAAATGAGTTCTCCTGAAGGCTTTCAAAACCGAATATGTCGAGTATGGCAATACAGGCTCGCCGGGGCCCCTTGTATACGATAGCATTCACTCGTTTCACGAGCCACGAAAACAACGTTGAATAGAGAGCCTGTATCGGGTAAAAGCAGAAGATGATGGTACGCTTATTTATTCATTTACTTGCTTCAGAAACTTCAACAAATACTCAAGATACACTTCGCTGGGTATATGGACTAACTCAAAACTGTTTGGTCAAATCTGAGCTATACCTAGGCGTGCGTTGACACGAATGCGAACGTTAACGCCTTCCTTTGGTCTCAACTTCAACTACATAGATAAAATCTGCAATTTTGGATCATACTTTCAAGTTATTTTATGTACCTCAAAATACATCGTGAACAAAAAGGCTGTGAAATATTCTTGCTGCTCGAACTTCACAGCCCACACATAAACGTACTCCTATGTTTATACAAGTAAATGGTTCTACGCGTATACTTGAAATTTGCGCACGCCTTTTAGCTACCTTAGCAATGGCGTCCCTGGCGTCGAGAGCCTGATCAATGTTCAGAGGCGTCAGAAGACGCTCGCCGCGCGCTTCTGTTGCTTTTGTTGTCAGAGAACGCAAAATGCCTTCTGCAGGGGTTTGTAACAGATGGGATGCCCAACGAACCTCAGCCTCGCTACCGACGTCTACTCCTTCTGTGCCATGCTTTAACTGTAGGGGACATTGAAGTAAGTCAGGTCGAGTTAAACTCACCTTAGCTAGATAGAGAGATGGCTTGTGTACAATACAATATACTTCATTTCAAAGATACAATCTGCACAATAATATAGCTATAATATTATAGCTGTAGATCCTATTTTACTGTAACAATGGCTAGGCAGGGTCTAATGGTTCACAAGTTGAACAGTGCTATGTTTTTAGGCATAGGCCTAATTGTATAGTTTTTACTATGCTATTGCGAAGACTCATCGTTTGCTTCTCACAGTTTACGTCGTCCATTTGTAGAATTCGCAGGATCTGTTAAATACTTAAGATTATCGACACAAAGCTTATAAGTCTGGTATTATATCACTGGTGTCTAAGAGTCATACAGCAAATTTATGTATTTATGAAAATATACGTATAGAAAAGGAGCTAAACAGCTACCTCGAGGAAGCCCATAAGCGCTGCAACCATACATACTAATGCTAGCATTTACGCGGGCACAAAACGAACGACCGTCAAGTACCCTAACGCAACTCGTCGTCATTAGATCAACTGCAAGCTGCTGTTTTAGCTCTTCTGTTAGCGGAAGCATGAGTTACTCCGTCAAATACTTGAAAATAACTGACGCTGACATTGAAGTCGTATGCCTATCATATGTGTGTACGAAAATGCAATTGTACCATATCTGAAAAACCAATATAAATGCCATAGAATAGCGCCGTAGGCTATATTTGCTGACATACAGGTTTCCGATGAAAATAGACATTGCCGAGATGAAGTACGGCTGCGAGGATGCGAAATATCACATCAGTCTCTTCACTTGACAGCCCGAGCACCTGTATCGCCGCAAGAAGCGATCTGAAATCCTCGACATCGTTCTTGGATCCACATTCGATACTGCCACCCTATTGAACAACGGGACATATCAGTTTTTACGGCATTGTTGTATCTTTATTTCAAACCTATTGTGGAGTATGTTATCGAGCGCATGAAAAACCTTCGTAGTCGGTAACTACAACCAGCTCTCTTTCAGGAAGTTTAACAACCTAGAAAATTGTTCTTACCCTTAGGAACCCGGTGACAAACTGAACCTCTATATATATATATATATATATACGTGTTATGTGACGCATCTGTAGTAGCAAGATCTGATTATCAAATTGAGTTGTACATTATAGACAGGATTTTAATCAACCGAATGGTAAAGTCTCACCTGATTCAAATAGAAATATTTGTCTGCTGTTTGGAGGCCGTATTTTTCCTTTTCCTGATCGGAGAGGCCGGCCAGCAATTCGTAGAACACATGGTAATTTCTTTCATCTTGAGCCTGTGTAACTATTCTGCTCTTCTCCAACAAATAGTCAATGGTCCGTGCGCCAGTTATTACACCGCTAGGACGAAAAATCATCATTGTTATTTACGACGAGGACTAAAAATACTACGGAGATCAATCAAATTGAACGCTAAAAGCTATGCGGGGTTACGGTGAAACTAGTCCACGTTTGCTACTTAACTTATTTCGTAATTAACGAATTTTCAATTTGTAACAACGCACTCTTGTATGGGAAAATGTTCAGCACTTAGATCAAGACGCTTTCATCGATCAATACTTTGCAATAAGCTGCATCCATTATAGCGGGCAATTCAAACGTTCTAGATATAACAGGACATCTTTTTTTTTCTCAGACGGAACTTACTCGTTGAAAAAAACCTGCATGTATTTTCCGAAACGGGACGAATTGTCATTTTTGACAGTTTTCGCGTTGCCGAAAGCTTCAAGCAAAGGAGACGCTTCGAGAATTTGTTCCGTCACGAGGTTACTTGCCGAACGATTGACTGCTGCCAGGTACCGAAGTATCAGTTTGGTTGATTCCGTCTTACCCGAACCGCTCTCGCCAGAAATTACCACAACCTGATTTTCCAGCTCGGATCCGCCCTTGTTTAACTTTTGGTACGCGGCAGACGCGGTCGCAAATATATGCCTTCACGAAACAACGTGTACAAGTTACATCATAGTATAATGCATTAGTCAGAGTCGAACTTTAACTTAGCAGCAAAACTCTTCAACGCTTGCCCTCGATATATATCCAGCCCTTTAGAAGTATAGACATATATTGTTCGCTATTTTACTGTTCTCGATCGTCTAAAATATTACCATGTAATACCGGTCTTCACAAAAAACGTTAGGCTATAAATGATTAGACCAGTACGTCGAGTCGGAAAAGAGGCATGCATAGCTTTCGGGGGGTAATCTTTGGCAGATTGAATTAGCCAACTAATTTTACAGATGAAGCACGATTCAATGCTAGATGCATTTGGCTGCGTTGTTACGTACGCAGGCAGGCTTCCTAGGATCTGACCCTCGTATCGTTTGACGGCATCGACTCCATATATATCGAACAGACGATATGGGTTGACCGCCAAAAGGATGCTGCCAATGTTTGTCTGAAATGTCACGCAATCCAGTAAGATCCAAATAAGAAAACTTTCATATTGAATTGTAGGGGTTTTATGGATTTTCTCTATCCCGTCATCGTATCCCGTCAAAACTTCCTGACAAATATATTTTCTGGGTTAAGCAGAATGAGTTCACGTGAAATGGCTAAGTCCACGAATAACACGTCCACGTGTCAACGCTTACAAATGTACCGCACGTATTTATGAAGGATATTACCGTTACCCTCAACACCGTTGTTTTATTAAAGCGGGCGCCTGCCTGTACATTGCTATTCGAAGTTTTTTTAGGAAACAGCTTGAGATAATAATCTGAAAGGCTATGTCCCGGGACTTACATAAATGTGTTGACGATCGTATCGAACCTTGAGATTCCAAAGGATGCTGGCCTCACAGAGGTCAGACATAGCAATCATATCTTGAACTCCATCGGGCCCGAGATCTTCACGTCGACGAACCGCCTGTCGTTATCAAATAAAGCAACGCTCAAAACGTGTCAACAGAAGCGTACAGTTACGATTTCGTTTCGTTTTATAGCGTTTCTGACTCATTGTATAATACTATAAATCAATTTCGTTTTATTTGTATTAATAGTTTATCTCTAACCTGCAGATTGTGGAGGGTAAATGGCTTCGGTTGGCCAGCGACAATTGCCTGAACGATGACTACGCCTGCGGGAGCGGAGAATTCGACCACCTCACCTGGTAAAGAGTACCCAACACCCGGATCGAACCAGACCAGTTCGCCCTAAAAAACCACAACATCAACCGCGATAGAAGAGCATGAGACGAATGTGCTCGATCGCTGGTATCTACACAAGTTGGGTTTTGCGTGTCCAGTATATATATTTATCAAAATAATGTATGTACGGAAAAAAAAACATATACATATATATATATATATATATATAGGTACTTTGACATGGCCTAGGAACGCTGTCGCACCATTGTCACACACTATTCTATGTACCTACATACTATAATAGGATAAACCAGCAATGTGGCTTACATGGAGGCCCATTGCTTGACCCATTCAGTCCACCAAGTTTAAAACTGAGTAATTTTTTAACTGATTAGGCTACATGATCTTAACAGAGATCATCTTTTTTCTGCACGCTTAGGCCATCGCGCCCTGGCAATGTCTAGATAGCCCACCATCCGCATTCCCATGTGTAGTGCTTCTATCTACGGCTTCCCGAAGTAAATTGATATAGGAGTATGCTTGCCTACCTGGTGCCCCTTCATGCGAATTGAAAGACCCGTAATCACACGAATTTCGTGCGAAAGAATAAGCGGGTTGAGGCCAACACTACATATTCCTTTGCTCTAATCTAAGAAGTAATTCAGGCATAACGATGGATCGTCAAGTAATCAGACTTGCAACTACCGTGCGAATGGTCCATGAGAAACTCAAGGCACCAGACTGAACACATCGTTTCATGTTTGGCTAGTATTTTATGGTAGCGGATGCCCCTAAAGTCTGTTTCAAGTACTGCAATTATCTTACGCTCAAGTCTACTTAACACTACTACCGAACTCCATTTCTTTTTCAGGGCAGCGCCATCATCTCGCCTGCTTCCTCTCCCGCTATCGGCAGAGATTGAACCATTTTTCGTTTGTGGCGACCGTCTGCTCCGAGAGGATTTTTGTTGATTGAAACTTGACAAGTTGCAGCTAGAATACAGCACACGCATTTTCAACAGGCCTAATATCAATTCACTATTTTTTACTAAGTTTCTGTATCTTTAGTGTTTGGGCTATAATTCTGTAATCCATCACATACGCAAAGCCAGTTCTGACTGATAGAACCTTCAGACTCTAAATGTTGCTTTCGTGAAAAACCCTTCTTGGTTGTGGCGATATGGTTCTGTCCTTCGTGTCCCGACGTCCGGTTATTTCCTCCTTGGCCTTTTACACTGCAATTTCCCTTCTTGAAATGTTTGCACCATTTGTGTACTGTGTCCTTGCCTAGGGCCAAGTTTCGATAAATTTCCGCTGTGTTGTGACCTTCGAGGAAGAGAAATTTGGCAATTGAGCGTTGATTTTCGAAATTGAAAAAGGTTTCTCCTTTTAAACCCATTCCACTTTGAGTAAATTCAACCACTTTCCTATAACGATTTGCTACAAGTCTAGCCAATCTGCTAGTGGCGTAGTTCAAAATATACTGAGGTTCTAGATACCTGCTAGATTTCTTATGAATATCTCGTAATTTGGAAGGCAGTTTAATCACAACTTCCCAGAATCAAGCAGTAAGATTCGAAAGGTACCTATTTCTGCATTTAATGGAGGCTCAACCGAGCCGTATGCCCAGCAAATTTCTGCTGATTACTTTCGCTGAGCTATTATTTAACACTAATTAATTTCATCAGTAAATCAACAGTGGGCCGTTTAAGTGAATCTTGTCAATGATTGATAACTGGTACCTTATTACTTTCGCTTTCATTACTTCTTCGGCCCCCTTCGAAAACATATGCAGTGAACATATAATAAGCTCCTCCAATCTGGATATAACTACTAATAGACTGCCGAATCATTATCCTTTAGATCTGCTAAGGTATTGTTATACGTAAACGTCTTGCAAAACAATACTATAATTAGGATTTTTCCACCAACGCGGAACGGCCGTCGTACGAACCGTTTTTGAACAAATCGCTACCAAAAAGCCTACAAGAGATTTCTATCATTTAGCAAAAGGTGTCTGAAAGCTAACCGGGTGCACAATGGAAAAACTCGTTTGTTTTGTACGGTCAAGTAAACTTCTATGTCTACTGAAGCGGGATGACTATTGACTGCGAGCATCTAGACTTTATTTTTTGTGCTTTTTGTACTTATAAACATTTGTGCGCTCGACTTTTTTAAGCTAAACAGCGCAATGAGATTCTGACTATAACGTTCCGATAACATATTTTCCACTCCCAGTATCAGAACAGAGAAAGGAATTGGCCGTTAGCTGGTTCATGTTGTCACTTCGGGCAGAAGTAACGATATTGGCTCTAACCTCGTTAAGAAATTGTTCACAGTACCTACACTCATTTGTCACCTCGCAGTAACAGACAGCACATAATATAGCCGGTCATATAATAGGTATAACAAACCTTCTAATCGGAAAGATCTCTTTATACAAATAAGGCAGACCAAGCCCCACATCGAAGGTCCAGCAAATCACTTTATAATCGTATCAGTTGAAACTCAGACATATCAGATTTGTCTTGGCTGGGAATCGGGATATTGGAAATATAGTGTTGGTGCTACAGAGCTTTAGAAACGCGATATGATGGCTCCTTATCCGAGAAAATATGTGAGTCTGATTTAGTTGACTGACGAGATAAAAGGCTTGGATAAGGCAATATTCTACTTTTAGATTAAGCACTGAAAAATGCTACATTCTAGCCGAGGCCGATTGGCAAGTTCTCTTCTGTAAACCGTTGTGTAAAGGAAGGCAAATATGTTTACATTTTATCATTAGCTAGAAACACCAATTATATCCCCCTACAATATTCTGGCTATTTTCATCAGTGTTTTTTATGTGATTTGTAAACGGGACGTAAATTGCTTTTAACTATGATCACACAAAATGTTACATAAAATATTCAATAAATAAATAAACATGTTGAAATCATCTTCCAAAATGTTTAACCGCTGATGGCTGAATATCCTTACGGATTTTTCAGTATTCGTATATAGTACGTGTAGCGTGCTATCTCTTCCGTTAACTACAATTTGCTGCTTTGCTAAATTCACCTATACTGCAGGTATGCCCAATCAGACGGGGTACCCCTTCAATGACCAATAGCTGTTCTTTCTCAGCTTAGAACCATCGATCGTCGTAAATCCATCCAAGTCCCGAAATATCTAAGAGAGAGAAAAAAAAACTTCTATAAAGCTGTGAACACCAAAGTTAACGGCAGACAGAGAGGCTGGAACATCTGAAAACCTCAAAATAACCATCACTGGCTAACATGTTTCCATTTAGTTACTTTGGTGTACCAGATGCTTCGATGGAAAATAAACTGCATCTCCCTGACTCCATCTTTTTCCTTTCAGAACATCCCGAATTTAGACTTTATTTATGAATCTCAAACGTATCGGTGATAAATAAATGAATCTCACGTATTTTTTTTCCCTGCATTTATGTGTCTACGTTGCCTTAGAGCTTCTGCTTATTTGGCTAGTTCATACATAAACATAGTGACTCAATGCAGGACTACGCTTGCTTCTATTTGTTTTATCTTACCGGGTCGAAGTGGTCAGCCGCCATGTTCGAAGCGGCCACCGACATTTCGGCTTCCGTCTCCGAAGCTCAACAACTATTGTGCATACGACGATTCATTTCTGGAACAGACAGACCAACAGAAACAGGAAATAGATACAATAAATAAAATAATAACAAAAAAAAACACACACACACACACACACACGATTATGATTTTTGCAATGGTCGAGCAAGACATGTAGGTGATCAATTTGTTTCAGCGTTTGTCTTGTTATTAAGGATTTTTTCCGACTTAGCTATATAGCTGTACCAGTTGTCCTGTTCCGTGATCTCAGTGATGATCATGTTGTTATTGTTTTGATCCGCCATTATCTGGGATGGGATTAGCGGTGTCTCTTTAGGGTTATGTTGGTGTATTTGAAAGGAAATCGACGAGGTTGCAGCAGAAGAGCCCACGTTTGAAACAGTAAGAAAGAACAATGGTATCGATATTGTTGGCTTCAGTAGATGTAATTCGAAATAGCGTATAGGAGATAGCCATCGGTCATTACATGGATAGAGGCTTTTAACGGTCAGCAAAAAGGAAAGGATTGGTAATGCAGGAAGTTGATATTCGCTTTTGTCTCACACGGACGAAATATCTAAATAGGCACAATCTAGAACCGATCTTACTCACAGGACACCGCACGATACTGAAAACTATGGTTCGATACCATTATAATATATTGACTATGGACTATAAAACCGAATGAAATAGAAAAAAAGGCGTTCGTACGCCACTTCTACTATTTGACTTAATACTATAGATATAAATAGGACGCAGTTATCTTTTATACCGCCGACTCCGCGTCCCGAACTCGAACGTCAGGTTAGGACTAGAACAGTTTTCGCTACAAAAGGAAAGGATTTATCACATAGACCTCAGCGCAAAAATTAGATTCTGCATCAAAGTCTTTGAGTATATAACAAATTTTATATATATATATATAACAGAGTATATAACAGATTGCGTACGTTGAAGTACTAATCCTCTCTCATCACCTGCCATACAACCGACACCCAAAACACATGGACAGCTGCTTATTTTTGGGGACGACCATGTCGACGCGTCCTCCATAAGCCGCCATTCATAGCGCATCGTCGCCTTTGACGTTGTCCTTCGTCAGCATCTGTCTAGCGCAAAAACGAACAAGGTGAAAGGCCCTAGGAGCAGGGATGATTGCTGGACCTGCTAATTCGTTTAAGCATGACACCGGCCGACGTCGTCAACGCATAAGCACGCCCTCTGCGCTGTCAGCCTCTTGCTTACTTTACTTACTGACCAACGTCAATGGCCAGCGTTCTCGGTCAGTACAGCAAACACGAAGACTATTGGACGATCTAGCTCGAAACTAAAAAATCGTTTTTATCCATCAGATTACCAAACATAATAACAAACATAGCTCAGCCGCCGATGTCGCGGCAGGAACTGCTCCCGGATGAAGCCGAATTGACTCAACTATCAACTGATTTACGATGCTGGACATGTACTAGAAATAAGTAGCATTGAAAAATGACGCATGGAGTTGTTAGCACTGTCTTCAAACAGACCAGCTAAAATGGCCACAAACAAGATTCGCACGTAGTAGAAGATGTCATAAAGATAAGTAGCACGACGGGAAGGATTGAAGATTCGATGAGTCCAAAACTTTTTGCGAACTTCGTGTCCGCGAGTTACATGCATATTATTCGGGAATAGTAAAAACGTGCGATTTGCTAGTCGACGAGCTTTTTTTTTTTTTTTATTCAGGAAAAATAGATTCAATACTGCGGAGATGAACGATATGATTGAACTTCCTTTTTCGTACAACTTTTTTTTTTTTCTTTTTTCTTTTCTTACAATGCTTTCTTTTTCCCATTTTTAATGTGATCCTTTATCTACAGTTCCGGAACAACAATTGTCTATCACTTAGACTTAGGTATATGCGTCATTTAGAACTTGTTCAATTTTAGCTACATCTAACTGAGTCAATAAATAAGTTAGATACATTATTTATATTAATCAATTTACGAACCAATGCCAACGCGGCTAGAACGATTTATATTGAATACCACGTTCATATTGAATGCTCACCGCAGTGAAGTTGTATAACACCTTTTCATATGTTTGTCGATATAAACGAAGCTGCCGTCATCGTTAGAAACCCTAATGATAACGGCCGACTGCAGACTGTAAAATTACTACACGTCTTTCTCTTCATACACTGGATGGTGTGTATTACCTACAGATAAATATATGTGATACTGTCCATGTTCTTGTTTGCCGCTAGCTTTGACGGCAGCCAAATTGAAGTCTGCTTTGGCAGTTAGAGGTTAACATGTCAACGATCGATGAAGCTATCAAAGTACAAACAGTTTCTTGTAGCAACCATGCCTTCTTGTAAATGCCAGTAGTGGCATTTATAAGCCCTCACGTGTGTGCGCCAGGGGCTCAATGGATCCTTTAATGAACTCCTTTATCGGGCTCGAGCACTTTTTGCTATCCAACTGCTGCTGCTGTTATTTGCGAAGCATTGAATTGTCGACGAGGCTGCAAATGAGTGAAGATGGCTGGTGAAGTACCGTGAATATTGCAAGCGAGCAAAGACCTCGTTGGTGGCTGACGATGCTTAACGGTTAATATCCAACAGGCAGCGATAAATCGTTAAAGGAACGTGCAGAAGGTTACAGCGTTGACAAAGACGGTATTTGACAGCACTTGATAGTGGCAATGCTACTGACCGCTGCTTCAGTAATGCCGCTGAACATCATGTAAAAGGCCCAGGACAAAAGGACGAGTCTAGCTGACATAAACAGCAGCAGCAGCAGCAGCTTGTCTCGGCACCAGCAGAGGAGAGGCACTTTGCCCGTAAATAACTGAATACTAAAAATAATCGAAGAATAGTAATTACTTAAAAACGAACCGGCGCTAGATCATCTGCGTCGATAGGCGAAACATTACTGGTTCATTACCTTATAATTTGCGACGTTAGACGACGGGCAAGCTTGCAGTGGTTTATCGAGATGGTTTACCGTGGTCGCATAGCATTGTAGATACAAATACATGCATAGTTACACCCGTATATGTGTCGATATATGCCTAAAATAACTTGATGCATATAGATAAATTATAATAGACGTAGAAAGTTTGCTTGTCCATGAAAAACGGTATATAGTGCCGTCGTACGTGTGCACTATACGTATAATACAACAATACGAGATGAATCAAGTAAAAATCATCATCATCAATACGCAGCATTATTTACTGGATGAAGTCCATGATCTATAACTGAACGTGCAGCTGCCAGTTTACAGGACTCATTCTCTTTCAAAATGAGCATTGCCAATGTATCGCAAAGCCGTACCTGTACCACCTACGTGTAGGATTTCCTGTTCGTGCAGGATTTCCTGCTCGTGCGCTAGGACTGTATCCCACCTCCTGTACACTCATATCGGGACGTAAGAAGGGCGTACTGTTCGCGGAGAGGCAAGAAAGGTATCATATTATTAAAAGTTTCCGTGTGTATAACTAAGCGTGAAAACGCGCCCAGGTCATAAAGACGCTGTGGACCCTACCGATGGACATGATGCGACAGAACAAGACGATTACACGGTAAGAGATGCACGTTTGTGGATAGCTAAACTCTACTGCTTCGGAAAGCTATAGTTGATTTTTATAGAGAACTGAATGCAATTTAGCGCATTATTGCGGAAAAACGTGCCAAAAGGACAGCATGTTTGTGAATTTGTTTGTTTAGTTTCGCATCGAAAGCTTAGTAGAAAACTCTCAGCACTTCGTAACTTCGAAGTAACAACGTTCACAACCAATAGGCAAAGCTGTTGCCTTAGACTATTTACGTTAAATCGTTATGGTTCATAAACATCTGTTTTTGTCTGATCGAAAATACAACACAGTTAACATTACGCGTATGAGAAACGTTTAAGCATGAGGCGCTGACATTGTTAAATATAACTTCATACGTCTATTCGTCAGTACTACCCAAAATCCCACTATGTGCCATAATACCCTGGACATATTACGATGTTGAACTGGTAAATTTTGTCATATTACATCCAGTGCCTATGACATTTTTTAACCCTCTTAGAACGGAACTAATCCTAGTCCCATAAACCCGTCATTAATATTTAGTCATCAAATACCGGTTATTTTTTCATTAAGTGTTCAGCCGTCAGTAAGTTGCATGTTGACTCACTTTATGTATATCTTATAAGCACATGATGATGTTGTGACAAAACCGTATTGTCCTAATAAGAGGCTTCATACAGATTTCAGCAGCGTGCACGTCAGAAGCGGTTAAAAGGATACTGTGCTTGTCAGCCATGACAGCTCGTACTATCGTAGGCGTTGTCATGCTATCGCGCTATATCAACTCAGCCTTGCCAATTATATTCTAGAAGATAGATGAGGACGGCGATGTAAGAACGCCAGCGACTCAGGCCACTAGTTAATCGGCTCCACAACGTATTACGCACATATATACACTGTTTATTGTTACGTACATTTGTGTATGTTCCTACTCAAATGATCAAGTGTATTGACTGAATAGTATAAAGTTCGTTCGTTTACAAAGCTTGCTGTGTGTGCGATAAGCCTGTTGGTCAGTACGATGACTCTTAGTTTTCGGACCTGAACGAAACTATTATGGCACGTGAGGCGCAGTGAATAGTGGGTCTGAGCGGAAAAAAGAAAATCAGAGGGAGAGAGAGAGAGAGAGAGAGAGAGAGAGATGAGGGGTAATGGCATAAATCAGCCACGCCGCTTTCAGTTTTAGCGTTGAGAACGGTCGCGGTTGTGACGCAGTGGAAACTCTCGAGCAAAACAGCGATGTATCGTAACTGCATAGTTATCGCAAACTGCAAATATATTTTAAGTTTTTATGTAGAGGTGCTATCAACTCTATACTGGCCGAAGAGAAACGACAAATTTGAGAAAAACAAGGCTTGGATACGCGATATCGGCTGTGTACGATTTTGAGACTACGTATGTATATTACACTGACGTTTGGTAAGCCTGTGGTCCTGGCGAGCGTTAGAAGGTTGCGAATTTGCCATATGCCTATGGGAAAGAAAAGATGTTATATTGT